GAAGGGGGGGGGGATAATGCAATTCTCTTGTTTCTTTCAGTGAGGTTATTGAGAATTGAAAAATGTATTTTTTACATTTTTTCTTTCTATGTAGTAACATTAATTTGAGATAAATCTTTGATTATATTACCTATTCATCTGCTCTTCTTTTTATATCATCAGAGCAAGAAGTGTTCGAGGAAAAGCGTTTATATCGGTCATATTATTGCACAAAAATGTCTAAAAGATCTCTAGATCAACGTGATATGTATATTTCATTTTCAATATCTTCTATTCTTCCTATAGTAATTTGTTTTTTGTTATCTACGGGTTCCTACAAGTTTTCTTATCCCGTATTTTGGCTATCCCTCCATTCTATTTAATTATTTGTTCGTTAACAATAACATCTGAAGATTAAATGAGAAAGAGAAAAATTAAAAAAATCAAGAAAATACATAATCATAATAACTTTTAATTGAAGTTTCATGTAAACATATATCAGCATTTGTAGAAAAAATGATGGTATTCACTCTACTGAATGTCAAACATTTTAAATAGCTGATGATATTAAGAAAACTTTTCTCTTAATACGTCTGAACAAGATCTGTACAACAACAGTAAGAAGACGCAGAGACCGACAATTTGAGTTAAACTACTACGTCGTTTGTAGTATAAAAAATCCCAAACAACATTGTGCTACTCGGGGATGTAGCTCAATTGGTAGAGCGCGCGCTTTGCATGCGCGAGGTACGGGGATCGAAACCCCGCATCTCCACTTTTTTTTTTTGTATGAATAAATATTTTCTTTATTTGCGTTTCTCTGTTAACGAATTTCTATCAGAATGATGATTCATCATATGATAGTTTCGCCTTAATTTCTAATTTTGTTTATGTAAAATAATTAACTAGTTTAGGAACAAAGAAACAACAACAGTTGATTATGAAAAGTTTTTTCGTTTTTAGCAATATAACATAGCAGGTACAGAGACTTTAATGTGTGTTTTCTTAAAATATATTCTCAGTTTCTCAGGTTTTATAATTAAGAGTTTTCATCAGCAGATTTTGGATTTTGTTTTTTTCAAATTGTAAATAAAAATATTCTACATGTTTCATTTTATTTACATAACAGATATTTGTTCAATTATGCCGGCTGTATAGTCAAAGTATCTTTTGAACAAGTTCATAATCACTTGATATGCAATTAACTTTTTCTGTTAACATGATAATAATTAATAATATAATGAAAATAAGTCGTCTAAATGAAATATGAGTAATTTGTACAAGCTCTTTCTAGCACAAAAAATAATTTTTTCTGTTGACGATTGAACAGCAATAGATTTCTGTTATTTGTTTTTTTTGTTTCAATTTATTATTTTTCTGATATAGTAGATGCATATATACTTAACATAGTAATATTTCAAGTTTTTTCAAGGCGATCTAATAAAAGACTATGAACGATATAGACAATTGAACTAAATATATATTTTTCACATATAAAATAAGACATAACAGAAGTATGTCTTCATCGGAAAGAAACTCATTTTTTTTTTTCGTAAGATAGAAATATGAATGTTATTATGTACTATTAACGAGAAAAAGAGAAAAAATAAAAAGTGATTAGTCTATAGTAGAATATAGTTTTTGATAAGTGCGAAAAGGACAGGAAAAAAAAATTTTTTTTTTCAAATATTTTATGTAATGAAAAAAAGCAAAAAAACATTAAAAGAAGTTATGCTGTTCTTTTTCGGCTATAAACTTTGTTCTGATTTCATTGCCTAAATCACAAGGGTATATCAACATTGTACAACGTTTATAGAACAGCTTTATAAACTTATTTCGTGATGGATAGGTTTAGATAAGATTTTTGAAGATAACTCTAAGGAATAATTTATATTTAATTATCAAATGCCTTGGTTCCTTTTTCCTTCCTTCATTACTCTAATTGGATAAAACACGATACTTTGAATAAAATTCAATAAGATATTAATATACACATTATTTCTTTTAGATTATTTAGTAAGTTTTTTTTATTCATGCACCTATTTTTGAAAAAAACCGTAGTTTAAGAAAATGTCACATACTAATCCATCAGCACAAAGTGGTGCATGGTCTGAGAATAATGAACTTTCTAACAAAAGACAATGTTGTATAATACCAAAACGATATATATTAACCGTATTAGCTTTTTTTGGATTTTTTAATGCTTACTTAATACGAGCAAATCTAAGCATTGCTATTGTGAAAATGATAGAACCAGTTCATAACAAAAATAATTCATCAATCTACATGCAGGTTAGAAAAATAATTTCTCATTATTCATACTTAAAATGACATGTTCTTCTTGTTTAGAGTGCATATAATTGGAACACAAAAACTCAAGGATACATCTTAAGTTCATTTTTCTACGGTTATATTATTACTCAAATACCTGCTGGTAAGCGACAATGCCATTAAAATAGTACTGAATTAGAAATTTTTTCGTTATAAAATTAGGATGGATTGCGACGCGAATTGGTGGAAAAAATTTATTTGGATTTGGTATTGGTTTAAGTGGATTGTTGACACTGTTTACATCTAGTTTTGCCTCTATTGGTCCAAGTGCATTGATTTTTCTTCGGATATTGGAAGGTCTTAGTCAAGTAAATTTTTTACGAATATTTAATGTTCGGATAGAATTTTTATTTATATTAATGATTAGGGTGTTATCTATCCATCACTTCATTCTGTATGGTCAAAATGGGCTCCATCGTCCGAAAAAACGAAAATGACAACGTTTGCATTTGCAGGTGGATATATTGGAACGTTGACGGCAATGTGCTTTGGAGGTAAATTTCTTTGAGTGTCTGTGAATTCCTTTGAGTGAATGTGAATTGATTACTATATGATGCATTTTTTCTTCTTGATCAAAGGACTTATCGCAAAACATTTATCTTGGGAATGGGTCTTTTATATTTCTGGTATGTACGTGTTGCAAATCAGTTTGAACAATATAGATATAGTCTTTCTATTTTAGGTATTATTGCTGTAAGTTGGACTGGTCTATGGTTATTTTTCACTGCCGAATCACCATCGAAACATCAAACAATTACTCCTAGTGAATTATCTTATATTGAATCGAATTTGCTTAAAACACCTGTAAAGGTTTGTATGTCGAGATAAAAAAAATACAATACAATTAATAATTTGTTTTATTCCAGCATTATATCATACCATGGAAACAAATCTTGAAATCGTTACCGACATGGGCCATTGTTGTTGCTCATTTTGCACAAAATTGGGGATTTTACACAATGCTTACTGAACTACCAACATTTCTGAAACATGTTCTTAAATTTCAACTGGATGAGGTATAAATACAATATCTTAAACAATACAGTTAACTAATAATATATGGTTTAGACTGGATTTATATCATCGTTACCCTATTTATTGATGGCTATTACTCTCTATGGTTCCGGTATTCTTTCTGATTCATTAATAAATCGGTTTTCAACAACAATTGTTCGTAAAATGTTGATTGTAATTGGTACACATCATTTATCAACACAATATTTATTTCATTATGCTTATTTCATGTATTATCTATTCTAGCGCTGGTCTTACAGGCAATTGCGATGATAATTGTTATATTTCTTCACAACCGATATGCAGTTGCAACAATATTAGTTCTTTCAATTGGTTTTGGAGGTATGGCTTGGAGTGGGTTTGGAGTGAATCACCTGGATATCGGTGCTCATTATGCGCCTATTTTAATGGGATTATCAAACACGGTTGGCAGTATGCCGGGTTTTATTTCACCTGTACTCACCGGCTATGTTACACAACATCACGTAAGTTGATACATTTACCTCTGACTTCTGACATTTATCATTTATGTTCGATTACCTTCTTTAGGCAAGAAGTGAATGGAATGTTATATTTGCGATTTGCGTCGTTATCTACATTATAGGTGCAGTGTTCTATTTAATTTTTGGTTCGGGTAAGGTGACGTAAATGATTTTAGTTTATCGCCTTCTTAACTATCTTTTCAAATAGGTGAATTGCAATC